TATTGTAACTGACCTTCACTTACTACCTTCAAATCAAAAAGATCTTCTCTATAGAAAGCCCTTACAAAGACAGAGTTCAAAAACGGCTAAAGGTCTGTGTTTTCTATCTTTAGTTTTCACCTTTTGCCTCTGCTGTTTCATTTTGTCAATGTTCTTTTAGTTTATTTTTTAATTTCTTTTCAATACGAAAAAAGTTCTTAGACTAATTATAGGGTTTTTTTCTCTCATGTCCAAAAGTTCCCTTTAAACTGGGCTATGTGATACTAGGAACAGAAGTCACTTTCTCCCAGCATTCTTCTTGCTAGATTTGGTGAAGAAGGGGTACAACAGGAAGCCCCAGAGTCAAGAGTAAAGTTGACTCTTCCTCTGCTCTGTTTAGTCTGGCAGCAAGAGCTGCTTGGCTCAACTTCTTTGGGCACCATCAGGCATTCTGAGTACCCTTAGCCTAATCGTGGTTCATGGAAGAAGCCAGTGCCAGGAAGAAGTTCCCTACTCAATTCTAACCCCAGTTTACTTAGAAACACAGCTGTCTGGATAGATGGATTAGTTTCTAGTGTGTTCTAATGTATTCACTTGCTTCTTAATATCAGGACACAGCACCCATCTTATCTCTATGTAAGGTTACATTCACAGTCACTGCTGGGTAAGACCTAACAAATGAATCTCAGGACATAATGTAGCCCTTAGGATCTCTCATTATTCCTCCCTATAGAGTTTAAGGCAAAATTTTTTTAACTCAAAACATATAGTTTTTTGTTTTTCCCAATAGACCCATGACAGATCTTCTAAAAACTGTGAGTTAAATATTTTTCAAGGTTTTTCTGTAGTGTTCTGTATTTATCTGCCTGTTCTACCTGTTTGGGACAATGACTCAGTTCCCAGTCATAACCAATCTTTTTATCAGTCAGCCTAGTGAGTTAAAAAAACACAGAATAGTGTTAGTTCCCCAAATTACATTTGTGGCTCTAACTGTATTTCCTCAAGCAGTCCTACTATCTTGTTAAAGCTTTCTTTCCTGTATTCTATTAACTCAGGGCTCAATAGACATTACTGAGTTCCTTTCAGCCTTTTTTGTCTGCTCATGACAGACAATTCCCATAGCATGCAGCCTGATCACACGATAAACATTCACTAAAGTGAAAAACAGCAGGTCATAGGACATGGAAGTTTAAGCACCAAATACACCAAGCTGACTCTTCTGCTGAAGCCTGGAAAAAAGGTTTACGTGAATCTACCCACTAGTTCACTTCCCCTTAGATGAATAGAGCTCAATTGACCCTCGAAGTACAAAGCAAAATCCAAAAGGATACTATCAGCAAAGGCTTCTTAAGCTGCCTTTGCAAGCTTTGAGAAAAGGAAAATCGGTCTTTATTCTGGGCCTCCAATTTTGTTCAATAACAAGGTAAATGAAATGCCCTGCCTGCATTCTGTCTGAAGACCTTAGTTTGCTATCTTATGTCCACAGGTTTGCTTATGTAGCTTATTCTGCTCCAAGAAGCAGCAGGAGCTAAAGCTGGAGTCTTCCCAAATCCCCTCCCTTTCCCAGCACTATCATTTTACATTTTATACTCCAAGATGTCTCCTCCATTCACATTGACATTCTTTAAAAAATGTTTTTTTTTCATGCATTTATTTGTGTGTGTGTGTGTGTGTAGAGTTGTGGTGAGTGCCTGTGGAGAAGCCAAAACCACAATTTTGGGGAGTTAGTTGTCTTTTTCCAACATATGAGTCCCAAGATTAAACTCTGGCCATCAGACTAGACAGCAAGTACCCAATGACTCATCTCACTGGTCCTACATCATAGTAATAAAAACTGGGGTCTCAGCCAGGCTGTGATGGCACATGCCTTTAATCCCAGCACTCAGGTAGAGACAGCTGGATCTCTGTGAGCCCGAGGCCAGTCTGGTCTACAGAGTAAGCTCCAGGACAAGCTCCAAAGCTACAGAGAAACCCTGTCTCAGCTACTTAAGAAAGAGGCTGAAGCATGAGGTCAGGATCAAAGTCCTGGAGTTCTTGCATCCTAGAGAGATAAATGGCTGAGTGGTTACAAGTGCACACTGCTCTTCCAAAGGACTCGGATTTGGATCCCAGCACCCACATCAGGCAGCCTGCAACTCCCGCTCTAGGGCATTTAATACCCTCTCCTGCCTCTACATATACCCATACACACAGCATACAGATACATACACACAGCACACAGATACACACAGCATACAGATACATACACATAGCACAAACACACACACAAAAATAAATCTAGAAAAAATAAGTCATTAAAGAAACAAATAATAAAAATAAAAGCCAGTATTCGCCAGTAACTTCAAAGAAATCAATAATCTGGCACTTACCAGTTCCACTACTGACTACAATAACAATGTGTGGAAATAGATACATGTCTCTTATCCACACTGCTCAGAACAAGTACAATTCCAGTTCAAAGATTTCTGTATTTACCAATAGTTGTATACAATTTGCCTGTTGAAGATCCCTAAACTAAAAATCTCAAGCCAGAAATTCAAAAACATTTGTTAAGTGGCAACATAAAAAATCAAGAAGTCCTAGAGCCTGGACTTAAGATCTCTGGTTAAAGATGCTCAGCCTGTGTTTACAATTGCTTTGTCTATCTGACAGAACATGAGCTGTCTAATCACACAGTGGGTTCTTTATCACACTGGCTTTGCATTTATGTAAAACTTTCTTCATTATAATAATCCAAAAGTTTAATATTGAATTTTGTTGTTGTGGTTCTAGGGGGTTAAACCCCAGGGTCTAGTTCATACTAAGCAAGAACTGGACCACTGAGCTAAAATCCATAGCTAGCCCTTGTTCTAACTTTTTTGGTTTTATGAGTTTTTTTAATGGGTATGGGTATTTTCTTGAATGTATCTCTGTACACAACATGCATGACTAGTACCCGTGGAGGCTAGAAGAAGATGTTGAAGCCCTGAGAGCTGGGATTCAAACCAAGTGTTATGATAGTGTGAATGTAATTGACCCCCATAATCTCATAGGGAATGGCACTATTAGGAGGGGTGGCTTTGTTGGAGTGGGTATTGTCTTATTGGAAGAAGTGTGTCACTGTGGGGGGTAGGCTTTGCTCAGGGTACTGCCCATTGTTTCAGTCAACTTCCTGTGCCTGTAAGATAAAGGACTCTCAGCTATTACTCCAGCATGTCACCACCATGTTCCCAACATGAAGATAATGGACTAACCCTCTGAAACTGTAAGCCAGATACCCCAATTAAATGTTTTCCTTTATAAGACTTGCTGTGGTCATGGTCTCTTCATGGTCTCTTCACGGCAATAAAATCTCTAATTAAGACACCAAGTCTTCTAGAAGAGCAGCCTGTGCTTGTAAGCACTGAGCCATTTCTCCAAACCCTTACTGTAATTTTATAAAGAACCAAATTTCTATTCTAACCCTGTAACCATTAAATGGCTTCCACACTAAAAAATGTAACAATATTGCTCAGGTATGTGACAATAAAGCATTAAACATCAACAATACCTAAAAAATGAAGGGAAATGAATAAAGGGAAAATAAAAGTAATCAAGCAAAAACTCAATTCAAGGTTCTAAAAGTAACATCAAGAAACAAAATATTTAATTAAAGAAATTGAGGGCAAGGGATACACCTTGGTGGAACAAAGACTCCTAGCATGTGTGAGATTCAGGTTCAATTTCCAGAACGACAATTAAAAGGAGAAGTGAGGAAGGGACAGAAGGGGTTGGGGAGAGAGATGGGAAGAAAAGGGTAGAGGAGAAGAAACATAAAAGTACTAAAAAGTAACAGGTTTAGCAAATATTTAAACTGAATAAACTTAATAATGTACATTTCTGTATTATATAAAGGATTAGCACTAAGTGTTTTCTTTTAAAAAAGCTACTAAAATGATTTATTTAAAATGTGAACATTTTCTATGTTGTCAAATGACTTAAAGCAAGAGGTACATCACGACTAAGTCTGTTTCTCTACACACAGCCAAGGAACATAGCAAGACCTTTAAAAAAATGTCTTGCTGGGCAATGGTGGCACATGCCTTTAATCCCAGCACTCAGGAGGCAGAAGCAAGCAGACCTCTGAGTTTGAGGCCAGCCTACTCTACAAAGTGAGTTCCAGGACAGCCAGGGCTACACAGAGAAACCCTGTATAAAAAAAAAAAAAAAGAAAAATGTTTTTCTTAGATTCATTTTAGTTTATATTTATGAGTGCTTTGCCTACATACAAGTGAATCACATAATGCCTAGTGCCCAAAGAGGGAAGGAATAGGCATCAGGTCCCATGGAACTGGAGTTGAGGATGGTTGTGAGCAACCGTGGGGGTGCCGGGAATCAAACTGGGATCCTCTAGAAGAACAACTAGTGCTTTTGACTGATGAGTCAATTTCCATCCCCTCTCTACACTTTTAATGTGAAACTGTCCCTTTGAGCTATATACTTACTCAGTAACATTCTATTAAACATGAAAAAAACTAGACTTCAGCTTAACTCTGTATTCACGCACTTATTCATGCTATTTCCCATTGATAATCGTTCTCAAAATTTCAAGTACTGTTTAATCTTCACAATATTCCAATTATATATGTACAATAATACACATATATATGTACATGTAAAAATAAATCAAATGAATTTATACATACATACATATTTATATAAAGGTTCTCATACACACACACACACACACACACACATACCCTTAGAAAATCAATCATATAATCTTCAAAGAGAGGCTGGAAAGATGGCTCAGCAGTTAAGAGCACTTCCTATTCTTCCAGAATATCCAAGTTTGGCTCCCAGCATCCACTTAAGGCTGCTCACAACCACTTGGAACTCCCATTCCAGGAGATCTGATGCCCTCCTCTGGCCTCCCCCTACCAACATGTGGCAATACATGCATACAAGCACACACACATTATTTTTCTTTTAAATCAGGGATCTTCAAAAGAATAACAATAAAATTTTGAAATAAAAATCAAAGTGCTTATGTTTTAACTTACTGACTGATTAAATCGGATGCCACCTTACAGCCATCATCTGCCTCCTCTTCCATATCAGAGTCCAAACCATTGTCACCTTATAAAAAAAAAGAACTACTAAAAACATGTTTATAAAATGATTTTATCATTATATTAAAAGTACCATCTTTAAAAGAAATGCAAGGTTTAAAAAGTTATAAAATATTCCTCTATTATTTGTATCTTTAAGATGGATTTTATCTATGTGTACATATGTATGTATCTGTGTGTGAGTAGGGACATGTGTGCAAGTGCCAACACAGGACAGAAGTGGCATTACAGATGGTTATAGCCACCCAATGTGGGTGCTGGAAACCATACTCAGAAACTCCAGAAGAGCAGCAAGTGCTCTTAACCATGTCTCCAGTCTCCAGTGTTATATTTACAATTGACTTTTTTTTATTGTCTTCCCTTTATCACATACATATAAGAATGTGTAAGTACATAATTAGAGACTATATACATGTGTGTATATATTTCCAGAATTACAAAATGCATTAAATCATTTGTTGTGGGCTGGACCGACAGCCTCCAAAACAATACAGAGAAACCCTGTCTCGTAAAAAAAAAAAAAAATCATTTGTTGCTGTTTGTTGTTGCTGCTGCGTGTGTGCGTGCGTGTGCGTGCGTGCGTGTGTGTGTGTGTGTGTGTGTGTGCGCGCGCGCGCGCGTGCGGGTATGCATGCATGCATGGTGGAGAAGATGCCTGCAGTGGCCAGATGCTATGATCCCCTGGGGATGGAGTTATGGGGGAGTTACAGGTAGCTGCGAATCATTTGATGTTGTTGCTGGGAACTGAACTCCAGTCTTAACCACTGATCAATCTCTCCCACCCCATTACTTCACATTAAAATTTTAAAAAAATCAGTTTCTGAGATTAAAAGCATCTGATTTTGTTTCTTCTGTGACACAAATGAGAAAATCCTCTCAAAGGTCCAAATCAAACCCAAAAAATAACTTGAAAATTCAAAATTCTAAAAGTTATCAAAGAATATCTTAGTTTGTGAGTCATTGATGCTAGAAAAGTGCAAACAATTCTAATATTGCATCTAGGTCTTGTTGGAACAGGAGAAATATGCAACAGCTCATTATAAGTTATAAAGAAAATAAAGCAGAAAATGTCCTAAATACAGAAAATGTAACTTCTTGGTGATTTTTTACAGCACTTCTAATTTTCTTTTTAATTTCATTTTATTATAGTATACAAACATGGACTTATCTATATATTGATTGGGGAAAACTACATATCAAATTTGGGGGATTTTTTTTGGAAATTCTATTCTGATATATATAAATTATAGTTTTCATTACAAACAGAAGTAAAGATATTCCTCAGTGATTCCTCAATAACAAAATTAAGTCACATTCAAACAACAGAAAGAAAATCTCAATAATTAAGCAGAGAACCACTTAATAAGTTTGCAGAATGTAGAAATATTTATTCTTACCCTCAAGAATCTTCAAGATTTTTTTTTCAGACAGGAGCTCTAATTGTTCCTGGCATAGTTTTTTAATTTCTTCTACTGAACAGTTCTAAAGAAAATGACATTTAAGAAAAATTGCATTTATGTACTATAGCTCCAATGTAAAATGGAAAACTGCAATTATAAGAAAAATTCCAATTAGCAAAATCTTATAACCAAACAAATTAAAGCCTCAAGAATATGCTTATGAGTTTTTTAGTGGGATGAAATCTGAATAGCTGTCAGTTGACATGAATATTTCAGAGATTTGAACGAATACATAAAGCCATGGTTATTAGAAGGAAACACTCAAGTATAAGTCAGTCTTTAACTGTATCTGATTTATCTTATGTAATTCTTAAAACGATTTAAATCTTCAGGGAGTGACTTTATGAGATACTTCCCCTTATGATTTGCTTGGGCTTTCTATAGCCATAAAATCAGAATACCACATATTTCCCTAAGGTTTTCAGAAATACATACACAAACCCTATAAACTTGATGAAACACAAGCTACTATAAACTATTGTGGACTGTTACACAGCAGCATGTCATTCTTAAGCATTAGAAAGATACCTGTTAACTCCAATTGTAAATAGTGGAAAATAATAGAATTTTTTCCACAGGGTCAATAAATGACCTGCCTAAATATTTTTCTTTAAAAAAAAATGCTTAAATATTTAAGGTTTTCCAAATTCTCTTCCTTGCACTCTTTCAAGTAGTTCGTTTTAGATTAGAACATCCAATCGCACACGACATTCAGTGAAATGACTGCTACACAAGAAGGTTCTGTTTCACGTGTGTGCAGCCTACTAATGCAGCAAAGTACCTTCAACACATCAGGGAGCATCTTCTGTAACTTCTTTTCTCCTATTATACAGAAGCACTGCTGGAGCATTTCTTTTTTGTCTGATATATAGAAACTAACTGGTTTTAATGAAACAGTCAGATCCAGTCCACCTTCTTCAACATCACTGTGCTCTGCCAAGAGTAATTCTTTTTCCAGAGTTGGCAAAAGATACTTGGTTTCCTACAAGTTAAAAAAATAAGGAATTATTAAATAACACTATTTAAAATACTTAGAATATATGCATGACACCATCTATTGTCACTGAATTATTCTTCATTAAACACTTCTAAATTCCTTTTGTTTGCACAATTATCTATCTAAAGTCAGAAGAGAAAATTTAGTTGCTCATCACTCCTTAATTTTACTCTCCCTAGTGAAGTTAACACAGGGAGCTGTAATAAAAGAAACACTTATCTCAGAAGACACAAATGAAAATATACTCCATCGGGACCATTTCCTAAAATTTTAGACTTGAAGAAATAGAAGAGTCTTTCAGGGACCATTCATCCAAAATCTATAAATGCTTTGTCATTCTACTTACATTCATATGAAGAAACAAAACAGCAGCAAATGTTACAAGTCACAATTACAAAGCCATACTCCAACCACAAGCTGTCATTTTTAAACTGTTGTATGATTTAATCATATTCAAAAGGTTCAAATAGTTTCCATAATTTAAGACATTTCTGACAATTATATTTCCTATCCCCCATAACTAGTCAGTCTTTTCAAATCTACTTCCAAAACTCCTGCCCATAATTTTTCCTAGATTGTAACAGCCATGGAAGTGGCTTCCCCACATTCAGTGGGAGGTTCAGTTTTGTATAGTGTTACAAGATGAATTTTATAGAATGGGTCCTTACTCATGCTAATTTAAAACCATTAATGACTCCATGCGGTTCTTGTGATATCCTGTCCCACCGGCCCTTTATGCTCATTTATGTTCCCAGCACCAGGACCTTCTCTGAATTACAAGTACAAACCTCCTTTAATCCCAGCACTCGGGAGGCAGAGGCAGGCGGATCTCTGTGAGTTCTAGGCCAGACTGGACCGACAGCCTCCAAAATAATACAGAGAAACCCTGTCTCGTAAAACCAAAAAAAAAAAAAAGAGTGTATTTTTGCCAGGCATTGGTGGCACACGCCTTTAATCCCAGCACTCAGGAGGCAGAGGCAAGTGGATCTCTGTGAGGCCAGCCCGGTCTAAAATCGAGTTCCAGGACAGCCTCCAAAACAATATAGAGAAAGCCTGTCTCAAAAAACCAAAAAATAAAAATAAAAAACAAACAAAAATATCTACCCCAAAGTAAAAATACTTGATGCAACACACCAAAAAGGGCTTATCCCAAGACAGTATATACAGTTTACTGTCAACTAGCTTACCAATACTTAAAATTACACTAGCTGATACATGTCAGTAAGCCACATGATAAAAACATACCCACCAAAGCATTTGAAGAAATTTCCCTAACCCGATCAAAGTCACCCTTCACAATCTATCACAAATATACTTACTGGTACAACATAAGAACTGCTCCCAGTAGGAGCAGGATGTGTAGCTCAGTACTAGAACATTTGCCTAGCAGGCTCAAGGCCCTGGTTTAGTACCGCAGGCAAGGAAGAAGAGAGGAAGGAGTGAGTCTGACTTTAAAAACAAAATAGGAAGAGAATGCCCACTGTCACTGTTACTATCTAACACTGGACTAGGTTTTGATAATTCAAAATGAATAACCAAAAAAAGTGCTAAAAAAGAAAAAAATCAGTGTGAGCAGCAGTATTACAGAAAATCATTAATAACAAATAGTGTAACTAGGTGGAAGAAAATCTTATAAATTGTTGCACCCACAAGTCCCAATTTAAAGGTGTAATGTTACAAAGTATGATGCAGGAGAGATGGCTCCGCAGTTAAGAGAACTTGCTGCTCTCCCCAGAGGATGGAAGCTCAGGCCCCAGCACCTACAATGCCCTTAAAATCAGCAGATCTCATGCCCTCTTTCTTCTGTCCTCTCTGCGATCTGCATGCATGTGGCACACACTCAATGGGACACACTAACACTCTCTCTCTCTCTCTCTCTCTCTCTCTCTCTCTATATATATATATATATATATATATATATATATATATATAAATAATCTGGCGAGGTGGCTCAGCACGTAAAGTGCTTGCTGCTATACTGACAGCCTGAGCCCAATCCTTGGAATCCATGAATTGTAGAGAACTAACACCTGCAATTTGTCTTCCGATGCGCGCGCGTGCGCACGCGCGCGCGCGCACACACACACACACACACACACAAAATAAAAAATTGTGAGATTTGCAAAGTATTAAAAGAAAATGCAGAATTATTTTATAAATTTTAAGATCTTCCAAAACACAAAATCTAGAAGGCAAAAGAGACTACCAGCACTGGTTACAAAGAAATCAAAAGAGACTACCAGCACGGCTACAAAGAAATCAAAGGCTTCCGCATACCTTAAACAAAGTTGTAACATTTCCCGTATACACTACACAAAAGTTTAAAACTAAAGGTTAATATAAATTTCTGTGAGACTTCTCAGTGAAACACCGATTAAAAGGAAAAAAAAAAACAGGCAAAGGATCTATACAAGGAATCAAATGCTAAATAAAAATGTAAAAATGTTCAGTATCACTATTCATCAGGAAAATACGTTTTAAAACAATGTTAGACAGGTGCGGTGGCACATGCCTAATTTTAATCCCATTAGTCTTTTTTTTTTTTTTTTTTTTTTGGTTTTACAAGACAAGGTTTCTCTGTATTGTTTTGGAGGCTGTCGGTCCAGCCCGGCCTCGAACTCACAGAGATCCGCCTGCCTCTGCCTCCCGAGTGCTGGGATTAAAGGCGTGCGCCACCACCGCCCGGTTTATCCCATTAGTCTTAAAACAGAGGCAGGTAAATCTTTGTGAGTTTGAGGCCAGCCTGTTCTACAAATTCCAGACCAGTAGGGACCACACAGTGAGACCCTGTATCAAAACAAAGTATTATCCACTTGGTCCATTAGTCTGATGAACGGCTCTCTAAAAGACAGACTAACAGGAATGGTGTGCTGGGACACACCTGTAATTGTAATGCCAGCGTTCCAAAGACAGAGGCAGAGAGGCAGGAGGGGGCATGCTAAGTTTAAGGCCAGCCTGATCTACAAAGCATACACATACCAAGTTCCAGGACTACACGGGGGTGGGGCGGGTAGTTTGAGGGTGGGAATTTGTTAAGAGGATAACATAAACTAGTGAAGATTTGCAAAGGCCAGCACTTTATAAATCAGTAGTATTCCTTTTAAAGCATTTGGTTCTGTTTCCCAACTCATCTGTTGTAAACGGTTTGGGTTCACAGATCTGCTGCCAGGATGCATAGAAAAGGAATTCGTAACTTTTCAAAACGCATACACTTTGGACACTGCGCTTCACTTCCGTAGCTCCAAGCCTATGTAACTCTTGCACAAGATCCATGAACAACGTGTTCCATTTGGTATTATTTTATGTAAAAATCGAGAAAGCTAAATGTTAATCAATACAGATATGTGGATACTTGGAAGTCAATAAAACACAGAGTGTATGGCATATTACCCAACTACGTACGTAACAGGAAACCATGAAAAGTAGCTGCAGGTCAGCAGAAAGTGTGCATATCAAGCAGCAGTACTAAGGGCTTTCAACTGCTCCCTTTCTATTTTCGACGAATTTTAAGAACATCGCGTCCTTTTACAGTAAGTTATAAACTACTGTATTAAATGGTGGTATCACGGCAGGTAGAGGACGCATAAAGAAACATTGGGAGGTGGGGGTGTCCGGTGTTGAATTCAAACGAAAGAACTACGAAATTCTCGAAACTGTGAACGTGGGTAAAAACTTCCGAACTTGAGTCTCATTTGTCAGTTTGGTTTTGTGTGTGTGTGTGTGTGTGTGTGTGTGTGTGTGTGTGTGTGCGTGTGTGTGTGTTTCCATGTGTGATGTGCGAATAATCAGAATCCATTAAAACGTTAAGGTTAGCCATCAGCGCTCACATCGGCATCTGTTAACTAAGGAGCCGACCCACAGAGCCTCAAGGGAGAACGGGGAACGCACGAGTGAAAAGAGCCGGGAAAGTTTCACAGGGGAGGGGTACTGGGCTGTAAATGCAGACACTCGGAAGTTGAAAACGCAGGCGGGGACGGGCTCGGAAGAGAGCCGGCGGCCCCGGGGAGCCCGGCACTAACAATGCGCTCCTGTGCGCGCCCGCGCGGCTCCGCAGCCCGGCTCCCCCGAGACGGGGCCGCGGCTCCGGGGGGCGGCGCGAGGCGAAGCACGCACCTGCTGCAGGGAGCCCGAGACGCTGGAGGACGAGTCGGTGCTCCTCCGCTTTCGGCGCTCGCTCCGTTCCGCGCCGCCCGCCACACTCGCCCCGCCGCTGCCGCCGGCGGCGCCCCCGCAGCAGCCGCCGCTCCCGCAGCCGCCCGCGGTGCCGCCCAGCACGGGCACCAGGTCCGGGGCCGCGAGCGCGGCGGCCGCCTCCTGCCCGCTCCGCTTGCGCCGCTTCTCCCGGGAAGACTTCTTCCCCGTCATGGTCCCGGCGCCACAACCATCGGCGACAGCCGGCCGTCTCTGCAGCAACAGAACACCGCTTCCGTAGCGGCCGGCCGCGGTTGTCGCAGCCTTGGCGTCACTTCCGGGCCCGGCGCCTTTCGCCGTGGGTCGTTTCTGGAGGAGGGACCCGGACGCGCCGAGCCTGCTGCTGAGGTGGTCTGGAGTTTGAAAGGTGACGCGTGGGCCAATCGGGCTCAGTTTCGCTTTTTTCAACCTCTGCGAAGATGGAGTTTTCCATCTTCCGAAGGTGGAGTTTCTCAAGTGCTTTTTGCCTTCCGGATAGTTCGTTTTCAATGTTTCTCAGTTTGCAGATAACGTTTGTGAGTAATTTTCCTTTGCCTCCAAATCCCACGTTTGGTACCAAAAACGATATAACAATAAAAAGAATTTCAGAAGAAAAGTTTCCCACTATCTCATTTGGGCAAATTTTTTATAATTTATTTATTATTTTGTGTGCATCGGTGTTTTGCCTGCATTGCGTGCATGTCTGTGTGAGGCTGTCAGATCTTGGAGTTACAGACAGTTGTGAGCAGCCTTGTGGGTGCTGGGTTTGAGCCTGGCTTCTCCGGAAGAGCACTCAATGTCCTTAAATTGCTGAGCCATTTCTCCAGCCAGATTGAGCAAAAACTTTTAAGTGTACCTTAAAGACTTGTTCAAGAATAGCGGTCTTGTGCTTTCGTATCTTTTCTCATTAATAACGAATCTCAAGGCATGATTCCATGTTACGTTTACATAAGTGTTGGGGTAGGGGAGTAAGACGTTTAAAAAGAAAGGTTCTGGCTGTAATATTTCCACGGTGTTAACAATGGTGAGCTCAGAGTTTCATTAGAGTCAAGAAAAGGACCACCTGTGGAGATGAGTTCTAGCTGCCTCAGTAAAAGCTCCCCTTATGTGCTAGGGAGAGGAACTCCTTAGATGTTTTTGTTCCTGAGGTGATCCAGCACTGTGGTCTAGTCAAACCTGCAATTCTTGCACTTAAGCTGTCTCTGCCTCTAGAATAGGTAGAACTATAAACACACAACACTATATGCCTTGTGAAGTATGAATTTGATCAGGTTTGTGGCTTTGTTTTGTTGTTGCTGTGTGACACAAGAAACACATCTCTCCTCTCATCTTAAAGGAAATAAAGAGTTTGTCTGGAGCTATTCTGAGTGACCAAGGCCCAAGAAATGCAGATTACTCCAAATTCCATATTCCAACCTGGAAGCAGTTTCATGAAGTGTGTGTGTGTGTTTACAGGACAAAGATAAATTAAGACAAGTTTAAAACACAATACACCCACCCAAGAGACAGATACATTGACATGGGAGAGGGCACTATCCTATAGGCCCAAGATTTTATCTGATGACATTCTCATCTCTTGGATTGATAGAAGCTAGTGTTCTGTTAAATTAATAGCTTCTAAGAGGCTTTTATTATCACAACTTGTTAGTTCAAATTGTCACATCCAAAGCAAGCTCCAATTCCCCAAACTCCAAAAGGCAGTTCAAATATTCAGAAATGAATTCAACCTGGATTGTCTGAAAACTTCTGGAAGTTAGATTTAAAAATAATAATAAAACAGCATTCCTCAGGAATTTGTAAAGCTGTTTCCCATCTACCAAAAGGAGTCATTTTCCCTACCCTTGGCAGAAGGAACATATGGCTACCTGTGGTCCCTATCAGCATGTCAAAGCCCATGCTGGTCTCCAGGCTCCTTCAGTACCATAGGTACCTATCACATATTTCAAAGCCCATGCTAGCTTCTAACCGTTCTTACCCTCTACCCTAAACTCCCGACAGCTCCAGGTTCCCTCTCCCCAGCTACTGGGTCTACTCATAACCCTGGCATCCTCACTATGTTTTCTCTGTGTGCTGCTGCTTCTTTCACTATGATTTCTCTTTTCTCTATCCCCTGCTATTCTCCCCTGTCTCACAGATAGCCCTGGCCATCAGTCTACTTCTTTCTTTCCAGTGGATGCTCCTACATGCCTCTGACTGTTCTCTCTCCTATCTACAATAAATTAAAAAAAAAAAAACCTCCCCCTTAACCATACCAGAGAGCAGTCCTGGCAGTTTACACACAGATAAAAGAGTGAGGCAAGAAACCGCTGTTCCTGAGGCTAAAATTAACCCAAGATAAAGTGATTATTCGCCTTTGAAGCTACAAAATTCCCATCTCTCTTCAGTACTGAGATTCCAATCCATCCGTCACAGGCTCCTTCCAGGTTTTATTTTTTTTGGGGGGGGGTCATTGTTCACAGACAGACACAGCTTCATTTCCCGAATTTTTGTTCACAGTTGTTTTTGGAAGAATTGCTCACAGTCCAGGCTGGCCTGCAACTCTGGATAGCTAAGGATGGGCTTGAGCTATTCCTTGTTTTTTGTTTTGTTTTGCTTTGCTTTGCTTTTAGATTGATGCATTTTTTATGTGTATGAACGTGTTGCCTGACTGGATGTATGTGCACCACACCAGTGCCCTCAGAGGTGAGAGGAACCTTGGGAATGAAGTTACTGGTAGCTGTAAGCCACCATGTGGGTGCTGAGAGGGAACCCAGGAACTCTGGAGAAGCAACAATTGCTCTAAACTGCTGAACCATTTCTCCAGCTCCAGCCTTGGACCCTTGATCTTCCTGCTTCCCCTTTCCTAGCATTGGGCTTATTGACACTTTGCCCAGCTTTCATAGTGCAGATGATCAAACCTAGCTGTTTGTGTATGCAAAGCAAGACTATGTACCAATGGAGTACCATTCTTGACCCCATAGTGGCATCTTTTTAAAAACAAAATTTTGTTAAAACAAAACAATTGTCTTAATTTTATTTGTTGACAAGGATAACAGGCAGGATGTGGGGGAGGGGTAGAGAAATGGCTCGGTGTTAATAGTTTGCACTGCTGCTCCAGTATCCAATACCCTCCTCTGGCCACTATAGGCACCTGCACTCATATACATGTACTCCCACACAAACACATACAAGTACATATAACTTAAAAATACATTTCAAAAAAGTCAACTTTTTAACCATTCCAAATAAGAAATGTGATAAGAAAATGGTCTTTACTGGGGTTATTTATCATTTTTATGGCATCAGTCAGAAGAAACCTACAATGCTAATAATATTCTAGGTAATTGCAGTTAGACTCCTTGTGTTTTCCCTGAGCTACAAGGATTCTGACTTCATTTTTTGTGGTATTTCCAGCCTCTCTTAGTTCCACATTTTGATTAAAATCTTCCTCTGTGAAGTGTGAATAAACAACTGATAGTTCTCAAGAGTTCTGAATGTTCCATGACTGGACAGTAGCGATGCACACCTTTAGTCCCAGCACTCAGGAGGCAGACGCAGGAGGATCTCTGTGAGTTTGAGGCCAGCCTGGTCTACAGTGTGAGTTCCAGGACAGACAGGGCTACACAGAGAAACCCTGTCTCACAAAAACAAAAACAAACAAAAAACCCTGAAGATCTCATGTTTCTAGAAAGACTTATTCCTAAGTAGTTGTCCCATAAAGCTGTGGTTACAAGACATGAACTAAATTTTAGATAACAACACAGAGCAAAAACTTTGATCATGTAATACAAAAAAGAAAAAATCAGTGAGTCCTATCCAACTGTTGGATAGCCATAATTCTTGTAGATTGTGTGTGGTTCCAAGGCACCAAGAGAGACAATAGCAATTATGAAGGACAACAAGCATTAGTAGATGCTGAGATCTAGATCTGAAAAAGTATGCAGTTCCTACTGTAACCAGCTACCAGTTTCAGAAAGCTTAAATGCAAGCCAGCTGGAAAGTTGGTGTGGTATTGTGTCTGTATGGTAAGCTCAAATGTCTTAGTACTTTCACGCTTGACCTAAGAATCACTTAATCACACGTAGCATGGAAAATAAAAAGACTCTTTGTGACTATAGCACAGTCTGCTCAAGCACAAGGACCTGAGTTCATATCCCCAAAACACGTCAACAACCAAGTCCAGTGATGTGTGTCAATAATCCTATCCCCGAGGAGAAAGATGGGAGGATCCCTGGTAGTTGCTGTCCTTCTAGTATGGCTGAATCAGTGAGTTCCAGGTTCAATGACATTCTTTGTTTAGGAAGAGAAAAACAAAAACAAAATCAAACCCTACACTGAATGAAGAGTCACAGGATTTCCTTTGGCCCAAATAGCACTTGCAAACGAAATGATTCTATTAAAAATTGAAGAGATATTCCTAGGCATGGGTTTCATTTCCACTGGAGCTGTTCTTACTCACGATTCCAGCATTTTGCCAGTACTTGTCCAGTGTCTGGATATGTACTAGTGTGTCACATTGTCACATCCCTGGCAGTGTCCAGGCCTGTTACCCTGTCAATGCAAAGAACAGCTCTTACCTAAAATGAAATAATAAGCTGCTTATTATGGGTCAAATGTGAACAACCACTACACAGAGGCGAAGATCCAGGCTGCTCCAAATGACAGGCTCCAATATGGGAGCAGTTAAATGAACACATATTACCAAAGCACAAAACAAATTCCTAAGTTCACATTTCAAATGTTTAGATAGAAACTTATCAGGTTACAGTGAAGTGTGAGAAACCCTGGTATAGATTTAGATAGCAATGTAATACATTCCAACCTGATATTTGAAAGTTGTTAGGTTCCCTTGTTCAATTACATCTTTACCAGATTTCTGTGTTTGATGCGTAAAGTTTGTTAGGTCATTGCCCAAAGGTGGGCAATGAAATGGTACTATCAAGGAACTAATGATAACTCAAGATAATTTGACTCTGGAACTGCAATAGTCCAACTCTCCATAATCATGGAGTTGTAATCATCCACATAGAGTCTTTAATATAATTGTGTCATTTTTCTGGAAACTTCTTTGTCCTCATATTCAGAAAAATCTTCCACTGTATTCATCTAGTATTCCTGTAAGTCTCTTCTTTAGAGATTAATTATGAGACAATTTTGGATAGTAAGTTTGAAAATAGTAAAAGGTTTAGTTATTTATTGTAAAAGAAACTGTCTACATCTACAATGAGCCCAGACAGTCATAAGCTGAAGGGTGATGTTTGTTATCCTCCAATATCCAAAGGGCAAAAAAAATTCCTAGTC